TATAATACATCCATGCACTGAATTCTTTACCTCTGCTAAAAAAACGAAGACATATCTATGCTATTTTGTTAGAGTGAAAGAAAAAAAAAACAAAACTGTGTGTGATAACTGGAAAAACAAAAAAGAATCTGGTAGTAGTGATTACTTTGCAAGATTACTAGGCACAGGGAGGCAGAAAAGACTTATTTCCAACTTTATTCTCTGGCATTGTTTGAATATCATACCAGGCATATGTATTTCTCATTAAAAATAAGCAAAATAACGAAATTATAAAAGTTTGTTGTAGCTGTCTGGGTGATATACTGGTAAGAGGAATAGTGAGTGCCAGAGAGGAAGCACAATCCAAGACACGTTTTAGAAGACAGAGATGTGCCATTTACTTTGCTAAGGAGCACTTAGGGAGGAACAGGTATAGCATGTTTTATTCAAAGATACTTCCTTTTCCAATTGAAACATAATTGATTATTTCTGTGTGTGGGGTACAGAGTTGAATATCAATACCTGTGCACAATATGTGATGATCAAATCAGGATTAGCATATTCATCAGTATAAAATATAGCATTCTTTGTGTTCATTAACCAATTTCTGGCCGACTCCCCTTCACCTCCCCTTTTCCCACCTCTAAGTACCACAGTTCTGTTCTCTCAATGATTGTGTTTTGGATCCGTTAGGTTTGAAATGCCTATTAGTCATCCTTGTGGAGATTTTAAATAAGCAGTTGGAACAGAAGTCTTATCGCTCAAGAATGGAGTCTGGAAAGGAGGTATTTTAGAGGCATCAGCATATAAATTAGCACTGATAAGTAGAAGTACAATGTTAGTCACATATGCAAAATTTTCTAGTAGTTACATAAAAAAGTAAAAACAGGTTAATTTTAATGTATTTTGTTTAACCCACTATATGCAAAATATTATCATTTCAACATGTAATCAGTATTAAGAAGACATTTTACATTCTTACAAGTCTTCCAAATCTGGTGTGTATTTTACACTTACTGCATAACTCAATTCAGACTGGCTACATTTCAAGTGCTCAATAGCTGCGCGTGGTGAGCAGCTACCTATTGGATAGCACAGCAAGGATATTTAATGCTCTGGGACTGGATGAGTGGAAGAGAGCCCAGAACTGGGCCTGGCAGCACTTGAAGCTCCAGAGTTCGGGCAGGAAAGGAAGAACTGACATATCAGACAGCAAATGAGACAGTCCTGTAAATTGGGAGGAAAACAAGGCAAGTACAGTGTCAGACTCAGCGGAGGGGGCAGTCAACTGCATCAACTGATGCTAAGTCGAGTACGATGAGGACAGAGAAGTGACCACTGTATCTGGAAAGATGGAATGAAGTCAGTCATCGTGGCAAGACAGTTTCACCAGACTGGGGGCTCCTCCATTGAAGCAGAAGACAAGACAGAAGGTGGAAAGTGGAGACACCTATAGACATGTATAGACATCTCAAAGGCAACACATTCCAAACTGATCTATCTTCTCTGACACTCTCCTCCCACGTTCTTCTCTTCCTACATTTTGATCTTTATTGGAGGCCCAAATTAGAAATCTGGGAGACACATCCCAGTCCGTTCTGTCTTTTAGACCTCATATGCTATCACTCACAAAGTCATTCCCATTTACCTCCTAAATAATTATTGATTCTGTTTCCTTTGCGCACCATCCCTGTTTCTGGTGAGAGGCCCTTGCCATCTCTAATCTTTACTACTGTGGCACCTTCCTAATAATCTCAGTCATTCAGCCTCTAGCCTTGCCGCCAAAATTCTGTTGGCAAAGCCTGGGGGCCCCCTGAAAATGCTGTGTTGTCAGACTGAATCTTTAAAAACACAAATCTTGTAGCCTTGATATCCTTGCATGGTCCTCATGGAACAGGTTTAGTGCTTCTGCTCGAGTTCCTTCTCTCCTTCCCAGATCAGTACAAACACAAACACACCCAGTTCAGTTTCAGGCTTGTCTTTATTATCTCTCCTAACCGCCCGCCCTCCTCCCACCGGCACCCCGAGCGGCTCGTTCTTACTAACTTTAACCTAGGTATCAACTTCAAGGGGCTTCAGCGTCGTGCCCTCCCCAACCCCACCCTCAGGCTGGTTGAACTGTGCACCTGTTCTCCCTTTCCCCAATGCCCTTCCCAGGCCACTTCTCTGTAATTCTGTGCCCATTTCTGCCGCTGCTCTCACCTTTCACATCCGTTGGTTCATTCATCGTATCGTGTATCGGTTTCTGTTCACCTCTCCAACTAAACCCTGAACTCTTTGAGGTCAGATAGCGTGTCTCATTCTATTTTGTATTCGCAGTACCTGGCACACGGCTGCGCATATCAGCAAGCGCTCCATCAAGTTAAGGGCGCCGAGGAGAGCAGTGCTGCGAGAAGGCAGCGCGTGTTGCTCGTGTTCCTAGCGCAGGTCGGATCATCCCAGAGGAGTCGGGTGCCGAGGCGAGCGGGAGGCCCACACTTCTCCGGACGGAGTTGCGCCGATCGGAAATGCGCGTGTGCGTGGGCAGGGCAGGAGACGACCGGGCGGTCAGGCCAGCGGGGGAGGCGGGGCGTGGGCCGGAGGAGGCGCGGCCACAGGGACACAGCGGCCCAGGAGGGCGGCCCGCAG